TGTGTTTCAAAAAATATGCCACAGTCTTTAAGATGTCATCCAGAGGTGCAACTACAAACTTTCTTTTCTGTAATAATTTTTGGTTTGCCTCAGATCAGGAAGCACTACCTCAGCCTCGGCAAGCTAAGCCTTAGGAGTGTTTTGTCTGATTGAACTGTGGGGAAGAACTGCCATGAAATGAGTTGTTTTTCTCAGAAGCTCAGTGTAAAACAGGGATGGATCTGGGAAGGATTCTACTGGGCCTGGACCAGTTGCTAGGGTTAGAAAAATAGATTTTAAGAGCTCAAAATAAAAAGTGTGAGATTCGTTCTTGTGTGCTGTTATAGACGGGAAAGGCACTGCCATCAGAGACTGGTGTGTTTAGTGTGTTGTGCATTGGAAAATGGTGGCAGTGGGACAGGTACTTGGTGGAAGAAGAACATGGGGAGCCTCTCTTGGAGGGAGCAGATATATTTTTAAGAAGTTAATGTTGTAGAACATGGCATTCCTGAGATGAGAGCTTTTGATGTGAGCTTTGAGTCCCATTTGCCTAGTGCCTTGATATAAAAACTAGAGCTCTAGTCAAGGGCTTTTTATCGACAGGCCAACTGAGCCCAACTACAGGAGGCCATACTTGTCTTCTACAGATTGATCTTTTTGTCTTCTGGGTGCCATTTCTTGGCCAAGAAGACTAGGTTGCATCGTTTGCCGTTTCACTGCAATACCAAGTCAGAAGCGAAGTCCAAAGCAAATTCAACCAGGAGAAGAATGTAGGCAGCCAGCTGCAAGCATCATGTCACCCAGGTTCAGCTGTGGCCCTCCGTGGAGTGTCTTTTCTGGTTATGTATGGTAGCAAGTTTAACAACTGCTGGCATTTGAAAGCAGAAGCCCCCTCCCCCAGAAAAAATATTTTAAAAATCAATGTTTCTTCTTGGTAGGTCTGTTCAGAAAACATCATCATACCTGTTTGCTCTGTTTGCATGTCTGAAAGGCTTCTGTTCAGTTCATTGGTTAAATTAATTTCTGCTGTTGTAAAGAGAGAGCAGTGTTAAGAGCAGAACTAAAGTAATTTTACTTTACATTATTCTGTGTCATGGTACATCTTTTTCACTCAAGGCAATTCATTTTGTGGTGCTGTCAAGTAATATTTTGTGTCATCTTCAGTCAATGTATCTTTTACGATTTTCACTGATATTTTAACAGTTTGTTTAGTCCTCTAGATAATGGTCAATGGCCTTAAGTAGTCAAATTAACACCTCAGCAGCACTATATTTGAGCAAACCGCTCACGATAACCTCGGGATGAAAAGCAATGAGAATCAATATAGTGAGCGTATTTTTAGGGATTATTGATTGATTGATGCGTTCTGGCCTTAACTTGAAGAGGCAGCATTGCCCTGCAGCTGACTAAGATGAAGTTGCCAGTTACTGATAACTGCAGGCCATTACCTGCGTCGTGTTTCACGAGCTCGGAGATGAGATGGAGACCTTTTATAGTCCTTAGCCGAAGAACTCGTGGCACTCGCGGGGTCTGCGGTGCCTCCCCGGCTGCAGCAGAACGTGACGATACCGGCCATTGCCACAAGAGTTGGAGACGACATCGATTTGATTCAGCGTTCGCCCGTAGTTCCTGTAGGGATCAGTTTGGGACAACCGAGGCACTAATGGCTTGTCTCCCCCGCCGCCTGCGAAGGCAGCTCCACAGAAGGTGGGAGCCGCGTTAAGCTGTGCTGCTGTCAGCAAGCTGAGAGCTGTGGGTCTCCCCGCCACAACTCTCAATTGCTAGCAGGTTTCTCTCATTGCACCTCATTTGCATCTGGGACATCAATTAGCATGTTTGTTGAGGCTAATTGAATGAAACTCAATCATAGCTCTTAATTGCTTGACTATGTGAAAAGAAATCACATTAATGCAGCTAATTAAGTGTATGGCAATAGATGCAACATAATTAGGAGCGAAATGTAAAAAACAAGCGGTGGCGAAGGTGCGAGCGCAGGGACTGGGGCGCCGGCTTCTCCTGTTACCCACACGTTTGGGGAGGGTTCCCTTTTCTTTGCTGCTTGCTTTTCCATTTATTTCTTTTCTGCGTTGCCGAATGATGAACATGGACAAGTTGAGAAGAAAAATGCAAATAGAGTTGCAATTACTACTTTTTCAAGCTGTTGAGGGGCAGAAGATGGCACTTCTGGGGTGGCCCACTGTTGAGTGGGCTCTAGGGACTTGTTAAGTGCTGTTTAAAAGTACTTGGCTTTGAATTACCCTCATGCCTTGTTAAAGGGTTTTTTCCCCTTTTTTCTCGGATCAGCATTTTCTACAACTAACATCTAGGGGAGTTATATCTGTAACATTTGCATATCAAAATCAGGCTTGCTGTCTTCTCTTTAACACAGCATATTCCAGATGACAGCAAGACCCTCATCTGTTCTAATCTGATCAAACCCTCCATTGCACTTCTGAAGCCGTGACATTATTTTGTAGTTTTAACTTTTATTCCCCAAGTGCAGATCTGAAGGAGCGCGCGTGGGGGCGGATGCTCCGCCGACTGGAAACTTGGTGCTTGCCTCTCCTCCTCAGGGAAATGCACAGATTATCGCTATGCATCTTGCACACAATGAAAGAGGCTTTATTATTTACGTTTGATATATCCCTATAAATATTTAAGCTGACATTAATACCTATGTGGCATCTGTTGTGTCTGGGCACTTTCGAATAATAACGCTATGGCTGCAGCGCATTTATTTCCTGTTTGCCAACATACACTTGCTCTCTCAAATGGTTTATAGCTCACCTAAGCCTGGTTTACTCTCAATTAAAAGGGCTTTAATAATGGCCTGTTACATCTCACAAGTTGGCGGTGTAGCAGGGAAATCGTATATGCTATTCATCCAAAGAATTGGGAATAAACACCTCCTTCTCAAATTTAACTGGAGTGCACTGGTTGTTGTACATTAAATAAAACGTGTCTATTAAAAAGAGAACATGCTGAGGTTTAGTCACTATCTGATTAAGCCTCATTTTAGAGCCCAGAAGCAATAAATGCTCAATTATGTTCTACTTATTGTATTTTAATTTGTGAATAACTGACACTGAACAAGAAAGTTACTCCAACTTAATAATTTATGGATGAAACCGTTTTGCTCATTTCTGTCTAACACCTAGTGAACAAATTTTTATTAATGGATTGCCTTTGTTTCTTTTGGCAGCAGAGTTCTGTGTCCTTACCCCCCGAATCGCTCAAACACACCCCCTCCCCTTCTTTTTACTGTTAATAATCCTCAAAAAGCTAGCAGGAGGAAAAAAGTTGATGTGATGACTTAGTTTTGGGGGTTTATCACAGATTAATGTTAGCTGTGAAGAAATGAATGCTGGTCTGGTAGTAGAATTATTTTTTTTAATGTGTTTTGAGTGGAGTATATAATTTGTATTGTTAGAACTGGCAGAGGTGGAAGGATTTTTATGAGGGAGCTAATTACTCTTTGTATTATGGCAGCACTCTTAGTCCGTTCGGGTATTTAGTTGTAAAATCGATGCTCTGATGGCGTACAGGTCTGTACGCTGCAGCTTTGGAACCAGCCTAGTCAAATACTGGTAGTCTTTCATATAAATCCTCAGAATCTGTCTAGTCCTTGCCCTGGACACTTGGGCAACTGGGAGTTACATCTTTGCTTGTGCAGACACCCACAGCATCACCCAGGCCGAAGCTGATCCAGTTTCGTCTGAAAAGATTTTTTTGCCCCAGCTCCACCACTTCGAAGATCGCTCAAGAATACCATTCCCTTGATTTTGAGCTTAACTCAAAAGCTTAAGCCCAGATCTTTTCCCAATCTTTAGTTCAAATTGCTGTTTTTCTCTTGGGATACGTATACCCAAATGTATTCTGTGCAGTGTTCCTACCCTTTCTCACCCTTGACTTCACCGTCCTATGCTACCTGTCTTGCATGTCTTCTCATAAGATACAGTCTCTTTTGTTTCTTTTAATGTCCTCATACTTGGTTTAGCTTCAGGGTATTTTCCTAGAATGCGAGTAACCACAACCCGCATGTACCAGGAGATGAAAACTTTGGTGTCTTCTGTACTGGTTTTAAAGTCCACCATCTGTACTGGCTATGTATCTTCTGATATATGGCAGGATTGCAGCCTCAATGGCTGTCGCACCTTGGTGAATGCCCTCGGATAAAGACACCCGTTTCCTTTTGATTTTCTATTTGTATCTGAAGAAACCCAGACAATCTAGGGAATGCCTTTAAAGCTGAAAGACAGAATCTTAAGAGCTTATTTTTTTCAGAAGCTATTTACAGTTTGAAGAACTTTCTCATGGTTTTCTTGGGAAGCAGTGGCTTGGTTCCAGTCTGTTGACCACTGTCTTTCCATTGCTGACTGGGTTTGTCTGCTTATTTCCTCTTTGTGGACTTTCCAAACAAGAATTAGGAAACGTTTTTTCCACTTCTAGCTTCCAGCTTTTAGTGTGTTTACTTCAATCAGACACAATTTGCATATTTTTTTCCCTTGTATGATTTTTTGTATGTGTGGAGGAAGGTTCAGATTCTGAGGAAATAATGTTGTGATTGCAGAAATCTTAACAGTCAGCTCCCTTTCATAACTTTTGTATCTGCTGACCAGTTTCAGCCAAACTTGAGGGAGACGGAGAGAAGTGCATAAAACATTGACAGAAAGGAGACACAAGTAAGCATGCTCGTGAGGGACAGCCAGCCTTGTCGTCTTCTTTTTGGGACCTGCTAGCTGGTGAACTCCTACGTGTAGCTCAGAACTAGCCACGTTGTGCGTTGCCTCTTATCCAGCTGGTGTCTGGAGGATGTATTAGAAAGCTCCAGACTTCGGTATTTGTAGTGAGGAGTGTGGAAGGGGATTATCAAGAAAATGGAAGGAAGGGGGAAAACGTATGATGGGTGCTGGCAGAAGATGTAGGGCAAGAGCCTTATGAACCCAGGTGTCAGTAGTTCTATTGCTTACAGAACTGACTGTTTGATACTGGGGTTTGGGTTTGTTTTTTCCTGCTTACAGGACTATATGCAGAACGTTCACGGCAAAGAAATCGACTTGCTGAGAACCACTGTGAAAGTCCCCGGAAAGAGGCCACCCCGAGCTACGTCAGCTTGTGCACCTATTTCCAGTCCCAAGACAAACGGCCTCGCCAAGGACATGAGCAGTTTACACATCTCGCCAAATTCAGGTAAGAGAATACCATGCTAGGGAAAAAAAGGGAAAGACTGTATTTCAAGTGTCCGTAGGCAATTGTCATGTACCACTGTTATGGGCATGACGTCTGTTCATAATTTACAAATCCAAATAACCACTGATTTTTAACTTTATAAGCCTTTATTGCTGATCTGTTCTCCACAAGAGTTTTTACATGACCTTCAACGTCCATCTTTTTATATTTGTTACTGTATACTTGCCAGAACTCTCTGTAATTTCATGGAGATAAACATATGTGAAGAATTGATGGTGCCTTACAACTGATCTGTTGGGTCTAATACTTTGGAAAAACAGGAGGTGTATCATTTGAAAGGGCTTTTTGTGGCTTCCTGGTGAGACTCACAGCACTTCTTTCCTCCTTTAGAAGGATGCATAATTTTGGTCTTTTCAACATCAAGATTCTTCTGTAGAACACTATTTTCATTCATTTACGGAAGTAGTTTAGCTCTGTATGAGCTCTAAACAAAGTTGTTTATTGTTCGCTGAAGTACTTGTCCGTGCAGCTAAGTGGATTAAAAAAAATTGCATTAAGGAAAAACATTTAAGACAATATGCCTTGTACAAAACTCATAATGGCATAGTGTTGGCATGGAAGTGGTGTCAGCGTGTTTGGGATAACGTCTGTAAGGTGCCAAGCACCTTTCCATTTACAGTTAACATAGACACCTCCAGAAAGCGCCGACAAAACCATGCAAACCCCGTTTTGTCCTTGGGCAGTACACACTGTGCAGGTACGATGACCAATCGCAGGAAGGAACTTGGTCGCCCTGAGTCTTCGCTTAATAGTTATCTTGTGCTTCAAGTCGAGATGTAATTCCCTGCCTTGTTTTAGTTCTCATATGTTAGGGGAAGAGGGAGAAGGATTTTCCCTCGAACTGCAGATGCTGCTCGTTGAGATGGATGTGTAAAAAAAGGAAAAGGAAACAAAAAAGTCAAAACAAACCAACTTTGTGGCTTTACAGTGGTGCCACTGAGCAGACACGCGTGGAGATCATGTGTGGCATGTTACATTAGTTTGGCTTGAGAGCTGAAATGTCTGAAGTCATGGTTTCATCAGACTCTTTTTCAAGTTCTTGAGAGGCACAGAGCTGGCGTTGTCACTGGAAGAGTTCGTAGCAGAAAATTATTCGTGCTTGGGGTTTTTTTCCCATTTAGCTGTTCAGATGACTGGGTGAGGAGTGTCCTTTTGTTTTTCAACATATTCCATTATTCAGGGGAGAAGAGTGAACTAAGTCAATAAACCAGTGGCCAGAGAAGTACATTTCTGAACCCATATTCAGGAATACATACTAATATAAAGTTGGTAGCATGGAATTTACATGGTTTTGGCATATGCTTAGATTGCCAGGTTACAGGAAAACATCTTGTATGTGACTTAAATGAATATTGCACATTTTGTTTTGTTTCAGGACTTTCTGCACGTGCAATGCTTTCTTTACATGAAACTGCTCGCTCTGGCGGTGTGTGGTGGCCACTTTGTATGTATTCTGGCTAGCCTGAGGTTTTACCAACGCCACAGTTGTTTTAAAAGATAAAAGTTAATTACGCTAGAAAGGACAAATTCTGGGAAACAGCTCTGCTCTTAGATAGAATTTTGAAATGACATGGTGGAAATAGCTGAAACTTCTGTCCTCTCTCCTGGCTTCCTTATTGCATGGCTTAAAAATACCAATATACTTTTCTGTTGTTGATATCTGGTGGCTAAATCTTAAAATAATTAACGTCCTCCTAATGTATGAAAGAGTTGTACCCAAGGGAAGTTGAACCTGATTTCTCTGTCATTACCCACTTGAATACCTTCATTTCCCCTCTCACACAGCTGGGACACTGCACTGCTCCTTCTTTAATTTTAAGGAAGTTCTTGACCTGCTTGTCTTTGTGTGGCTCTCTTCCCATAGATAGAACGAGTGTTGATGTCTTAATTATATTACTCCTCTAGCTGGCTGGAAGTGTGGCAGTTGTGAAGCATTTTTACAACTTGCTGTGGGGAGCAGGTGAGGGCAGGCTGGACTGAAGAGCTTTATGCACTACATGGCAGCCAGCCAGCCTGCTCATACCTCACTACCTGCAGTCTCATGCCCAATTTGGGTGTCCAAGGATACAGAAGAGAGATGGCTAAAGTTTTGGTCTGAGGAAGGGTCAGCGAAGGTGCAAACATCTTCTTCATGAGGTTGTATTTCATTAGTTCAGCTGCATAAGCAGCGAGTCATTTCAGACCTGCTGTAGCATTTTGCCTTGCAGCTATTGCTTTCAAAGTTCAGGTTGGTACATTCAGCCATTGTGTCTCATCTTTGAGCTTTTTCTTCACAGAATTTGTTTCTTCTGAAGAAGCTGCCTTCACTGAATCTTTCTTTCTTAAAGGCTACATTTGAGGTCTGTCTGGTTATTGCTTTACTGGACAGAGTGACCAGCAGCAGCAAGACAAAGGAGCTTTTGAAAGAAAGCTCATTGATACCAACCAGTGATTACTGCATTAAAAACAAATGAAAAAAAGGATCTGCTAATCAGTAAAGTATTACTTCTAAAAAAAAAAATAAAATAGTAGGACGGAATGGATCTGCGAAATAATGTCAGTGGCTCGACTGTCCATCAGTCCGTATGTTATTTTCAATACTTTTGTGTTCAGGTAAGAGTGAAGAGCTGCATTGCAGAGAATGATTTTAAAATATCAGGGGAGTATTAATATGGTAAAAAAGACACTATCACAATCTGAGCCTGGCTTGTTAGTCTGACTGGTGGTCAAGTACATTGGCAGTGAGTACATTGAGAGGGTCACAGCGTCTGGAACACTGGGAGGATTTCTGGTATATCTGCAGTTACCTGTTGTGCAACTAAAAGCATTTGCAAATTATCCCTTGCAGTCTGTGCTGCACGCTCAGAGCTTTTTCTCCGTTGTTAGTGCTGGAAGAAGATTGTCTTCATCTTGCGTGATGCTTTAAAACTGATCATAGGGCTGAAATTGTCTGTTGTCCGTTTTTTTGCTGGGAGGTTTTGCTGTATGGAGGAGGTTTGGACCAAACACAAAAAGAATCAGTGCTTGCTATTTTTCTTTTTAGGCCTGCAGATACTCTATATTCCAACTGCTTCACATATTGTATCTTCACCTAAACAGTGATGTTTGCTATTGTTCTGTACTTCTTCCCAGTGGAGTCTTCATACCTGAAGTAGAGTAATATTCACTATGGTTAGAAGTGATGACAATACTCAATTGTTTGATGTGGTAGAAATGGACTGATTTTCCTTCTGCTGTTAGGTAATTTTGTACAGTGTAGTGAAAAAGCTAAGTTATTTAAAGAATACCACTGCTCAATTAAAATGTCATGTTTAAAACTGCCCCTGGAAATAGAATTCATCGTCTTTGCTTATACCAAGTCATAGCCCAGGCCCACTAAAAGCATTTCTCGGCTGAGATTTCCCGTTTTTCACTAACTTGTGTTCAGAGAAATATCTGAACTTATTTTCATTCAAACATTAAAAACAAAAAAAGTCAATGCATTTTTATTGTTACAGTGAAATACTACTATACCTTTGAAGGCATCAGTGGCCTATTTATAGAACACTGTACAGAAGCTGCCCCTTAAGTATGGATTTCAGTGCCAACTTTGCTGAAAAAATATATGTATTAGGTACATATTTGATTGCCTGTAAGTGATATGTTTTAAATTCATTCCCTCATGTGTACCCAGCAAATAGTTTTCTCTGTCTCTTGGCGGAATTTCTCGCATTTTGGATCAAGAAAGCACATGGACTGGTCTAATAGGGAGGCAATGGCAAAGCATCTTGCCGGGCTATGAAATATGTGTTCTGAGGATGCTGTCTTGGAGGTTGGTGCTTCCAAGGTGTTAGGGATAGCCTGAGGGCAGGCTGGAGACAGCTTGGGTCAGGGAGTAGGAGCAGTTGTCTCACAAGGGACACTTTAGAGAAAGCTTTTATCTCCAGACTCCCACTTGAGTTCTGCAGAAATGGTCGCTGGTACCTTGTGTGTCTGCTTAGCAGTGCTTGCTGCTAGAAGACCTAACACTCCATCCATTAGAGAGCTCAAAATCTCATTCAGCTTCTCTTCTAACCCTCACCACACTCTGTGAGGCTGTAGGGCAGCTTGAGCTCTTCCTTCTTCTCGTCACCTTTCTTCTCTAAAGCCTTCCTGGACCTGAGTGATCGTTTGTATCAAACATGTTCAGTCTGTTTCTCCCACATGCTTAAACGTGGTGAAGAGCTTTTCAGGGGGGCTTCCCGTAACATTGCTCTGGGAAGGATAGAAGGAATTAGACTAATCAGGGCAATGTTGCTCTGCTGTTGTTTGCACAGAGCCACAAAGGTGATGGAGTGGAACATCTCCCTGATGAGGAAAGGCTGAAGGAGCTGCGTCTCTTTAGCTTGGAGAAGAGGAGGCTGAGGGGTGACCTCATAAATGTTTATAAATATGTCAAGGGGGAGTGTCAGGAAGACAGAGCCAGGCTCTGCTCAGTGATGTCCAGTGACAGGACAAGGGGCAATGGATACAAGCTGGAGCATAAGAGATTCAACAAAATCATTAGGAAAAACTTTTTCCATGTGAGGGTGACAGAGCCCTGACACAGGCTGCCCAGGGAGGTTGTGGAGTCTCCTTCTCTGGAGACATTCAAAACCCACCTGGAGGCGTTTCTGTGTGACCTACTCAAGGTGATCTTCCTCTGGCAGGGGGATTGGACTAGATGATCTTTTGAGGTCCCTTCCAACCCCTGACATTCTGCGATTCTGTGAATGTTGTTGTGAATTCAAGAGGGATTTGATAATACAATTTATAACAGCCATGAAGTAAGTGAAAGTTTTTTCTATTAGATCTCATTGATGCAGATGTCACATGCAGAAGGACAGTTTAAAAGCATCTCGTTCCTAACACATGGAATTTACTCATGCTTTGTGACACTTCTTGTCTGAAGATGATAATTTTTCTGGTTTTAAAGACTGATTTTAAGCTGTCTGTCAGTGAGT